ACCCATGGATATTTCCGCGGATATCATTTTATTTGCTGGGGTGACAACGGAAAATGGAGGTTGTTGCTTTTGCCTCATATTTAACACATATCTTTAGCGGATTATTTTAAAGCAAATCTACTTACTATGTACGTATGTATTTAATTTTCAGAGTTGCTTACGTCCATCTTTGATATACATTAGTAATTCACAAACGTGCATCAACAGTTCAAAGTTCAGCTACATACCTAGAAATATAAAAATGAAAATTTAGGTTATTAGATATGTAAAAAATTTAGCAAGATATGGGCATAACATGGATTTAATAAAAACCTAATTTGTTTATTAGACAAAAAATCTAAAAATATATTTGGTATTTTGACTAAAAAATAGACCCATGAAGATGTATTAAATAGACATGCTGCTGAAAGCATAAAATTTAATTAGGTTTGGAAGAAACACAGAGAAACTTGAATAAACACAATGCTGCTCATAAGTAGTTTGAAATATTTTTTGTGATTATCAGTGTTTATTTTACTGATGTTGACTGAGGGTATGTTTTTAACCCTTATGCGTTCACGATCTAGTTTATAAGAGATTTTTTTTTCGTGTTAGCTAAGTATTTACATATTTCAATTTTGGACTGATGCATGATCCGAGGATCAAACATCGACTCAGACCACTATCTTGTTGGGGCACACTCTTCTCTGTGCAGCGAAGCTCGTGCGTTTTAATACACAACGAAAGGTCGACGCTGAAAAGCTACAATCGCAACAGACGGTCAGTTTGTTGGGCACACGACTCTCACACCCGCTCTCAGAGAGCACTCTTCAACAAACCAGTTCATGCGAGTAGTGGGACCATATTTCAAGTTAATTACGCACCATCAGTCAAGAAGTAGTAGATGGATACCAGCGAGCAACATGCGACTATAAATGACGAAGATATGAAAACAATGTAAAATGGCGACCTTAGGTTCGACCAAAAGAGCAACGAACAACTTGTGTGACGAAGACTGTCAAGCTACCGCACTGTGGTTGAGCGCAATACAAATTACATGGGATCGATATAAGGAACTGAAGTGGCAATCTAAAAGCTATCTATAAGAGAAAAACTCTTGCGATCGAAAGCTTAGAACATAGTTGGATTTAGCAATTAAAGTTGGCGCCAGTTGGCACAGAAGAGCGTCGACAGCGTAAGCTGCACCAGCTCTCTTAATCGGTATTAATGGAGCATTACAAACCACTTCCACTTGGAACTTAACGCAGTGAACACCGCCGCATCACGAACTGCTATCACACTCAGGGAAACCGGAACCAGAAAACTCGAAGGTTGGGCCCTTTAGTTTCAGAAAGTTTCAATTTAATCCCTGATCACATTGATTACTGCGCCTCTGACGGGCTCCTGGTACTACCTTGTCTACTACCCGCATTCAATGGTGGTGCACTTTAAACTTGTCAGGGAATGCCTGACCACTGACACTATATTGCGTTGAAGTACTTCCTTATTCGCCTCACTTGGATTCCGGGTCATAACGAAGTTCCTGGCGAAGTGCATGTAAAGGGTACTCTTGAAACAAAATTACCGGATAGATGCTGATTGGGACACTTCTGACCACTCATGGCTCACTCTTGGATATACATATGTGCCTCATATCAGCTCAACGGGCGTTGAGGGAACCGGAAGAGCTCTGTTTGCTTACAAAACCATAGTTCACAGTTTTGGTGCGGTTTACGACATATCACAAGTCTATGCAAACTTGTCTCTTACCTAGTAAAGTGAATAACGAAATTTTCTATATCGCTTAGGCTCGGAAGACTTTCGATACTCATACCTCCACAATTTTGGAAAATGATGACTTGTTTTAAAAATCTCGTTAAAATCTCCTTTTTTATAGACGCAAAAAGTCACTAGTTTCTTTGCGTGCCCATAAGGATATTTAACATAACCATTGGTCTCGTCATATGACATGAAAACATTTTGTAGGAGAAAACAATAAAAAACTTTTGACACAAATTATTAATCTACAATTACTGCAGGCTGAGGTACTAGAATTTACCAGACAACCCTAAAAATTTACAATAACTGCGGTTAAAACATGATTTCTAGAATCATTGCATACTATTTACCACAAGGAAAAGGCCGACTGTACCCAATTTTACGCTAATAAGGCACATAAGTTTGGCAAAGTACATGCCTTGAACAAAAAAAAATAGAATAAAATTATATTTCCAACTATAATACCATTTTTACTTTCTTACCCGCTAACACACTTCAATAAATCGCATTACTAATGGACTTCATTCACCATAGTTCTCTATACATGCTTATATTCATCGCTGCTTTGTTATTTATCTTTATTGCCAACCCTCTCTGAATAGCTAAAGTGTTGCCAATTCAATTCGGTAATTCGATTGTGTTTATTTTGCGAATTAAGTGGAGCGAAAGTGGAACCTTTACGCTTTGGTGGTCAAAACGTCAGCTACAACGGAAACAAACGTCTAGCCACCTACACAGCCACGAATGCAATCGCTGACTTATAGGAAGCATAGTATGCCACAATTTTCCATTTCAATTGCTACAACAACAACAAATACATATATGTACATATATACGAGTACGAGTTTTCAACGTTTTTCCAGCATAATCGCGCTAATATTTATTTAGCTTTCTTCTTTTCTTCTCGACAGTCTTTTGTCGATTTTGGCTTTTGCTACTTGACTGCATTCAATTTTCTAGGCGCACTCAAGCGCTGCAACTGAAGTTGTTAATACTAACTATGTGCATTTGTATGAATTTATGAGCATATGTATGTATGTGTGTGTGTGTGTGTGTGTATGTATTTAATTTGTGGATGTTCCTGTGCTTTTGTGCATGTATACTTCAACTGGCATATTGCTGACTCGTTGTGTGGCTGGCTGACTTAGCTGGGTTGTTGCGGTGATTATGACGATGATAAGAATAATAGAATAGTTTGACCTTATTATGGCCTCTTGCTGCTCTGCGCCCATTTATACCAAGCTGCTCGTTTATTTCATCTGCCAACGCGACTAACTGCTTGCTTGCCTGCTTGCTTGCTTGGTCAGTAGAGAAGCTGCTTAGTTGGCTAGTCGTTGGCTGTCTAGTCTTCTGTCTACCCCCTACTTAGCTTGCTTAGCTGCTTGCTGTAGCTTCACGTGGCTTAAGTTTGGTTTCAGCGACCGACCGACTAAGCTTTGCCCCATCGCCACCGACGCCACCTCCACCACTGCCGCCACAAAATCATTCAACTCAAGTGATGAGGGCAATAATTCATTACAACTTCTGTTGCTGGTTGCCGGTTGCTTCATCGGTAACTGCACACCGTTGTTGTTAGCTGTCTGCTGCTGCCATCACCGAACTGGACGCTACAGGCGACGGTGTCTATGTTGTGTCTGTGCCGTTCGTTGGTTTTTGGTTATTGCTGCCGTTAGCTGCTCCGCGTGCTGCGGCAACAACAGTGGCATCAACGACTGCTGCACCAGCAACAGCGGTAACAGCGTCGGCGGCAACAGCATCAATCGCGGCAATAATAAATAATATTCTGCCATTTATTGTTTTCTGCATTCTTTCTTTTTTTGCAGATTTTTGTTTTTTGCAGATTTTTCTCTATTCACATATTTTTCAGCCGTTGCTTCCACTTTATTTTTCTAACCCTAGCAGCTTTACTGCCAGCATTCATATCTATGTAGCTTCTTGCTTGTTTGTGTATAATTGCTACCTACCCGTTGGTAGCTTTTGTGCTGTATGCGGTCGCAATAACAACGATAAATAAAAAGAAAACAGCAGCAACAAATACAACTACAACAGCTTACCGACTAACCAACCAAATTGGTTGGAGTGCAGTGGAGTGAAGTGTAGTTGTATTGCAGCTCAGAAGTTCATTGTTGGGGCCAAGCTTCAGTGCTTTTAGCAACCAGCAACCAGCAGCCGGCTGTCGGCAGTCAACAGCTAGCAAATAAAAAGCAACAACATTGGCCAGTACTAGTAGCAATGATTCTACAACTTACCGCTACTGCCCCGTTTACCTCACTCAACCACTACTTTCGCCAAACTTGTGCTTCACAGGAAGGTGTCTGAGTTATGTGGCTGTGGATGTAGTACCTAAATGTAGTATTTTCAAGTTGAGTTTTCCGGAAATATGCCAGGTGCATTTTTCATTGCGTGCAGACGCACTTTAACTCTAGCTGGTTATATTGTTGCCGTTGTTTTTATTGCATTTTTATGTAATGCGCTGAGTTGTTAACTTTTTCCGGCTACAACAAAAGCCGAGTAAGATGGTTTTAATCGCTAGCGCAAAATTTAACAGGCAGTGGGCTAGAAGATCTCTGGGCAAATTGTAGAGAGGAAGTTGCTTGGCAGCGTTAAGTGTCTGGAAACTCAGTGAATTTAGTGTATTAGAAGTTTGAAGAGATCAATTACAACGGTTAAATGAGTTTTCAGTTTGTGCGAAAGTTGTGCTGCACTCCATTTGGGATTATGTAGATTGCAATTATGCATGAGTGTTGAGTATGCATATGAGTATGAGTGTGAGTGTGGGTATAAGTATCACTATCAGTATGAGTGTGAGTGTGAGCAAGTATATGAGTATGTATCTAAATGAAAATGAATGTGAGCATGAGTACGAGTATGAGTATGAGTATGAGTGTCAGCACAAATATGAATATGAGTATGAATATTATTACGAGTGTATCTATGAATAGGTCTGTTAGTATAAGTATTAGCATAGTGAATATGAACTTGAATATGAACATGAAAATGAGTACGAATAAGTCTACGAATAAGTATATGGGTGCAAGTATGAGTATGGGTACGAACATGAATGTTAATATGAATATAAGTTTGAATATTGATATGAGTATGCGTATGAATATGAATATTAATAGGAGTGCAAGTTGCGGGTATAAGTATCAGCAGAAGGAAGAGTATGATCATGAGTATTAGTATGGGTGTGAGTGTGGCGAGTATGAGTATGAATATGAGTATGTGGCTTAGTATCCGAATTAGTAAGTGTAGTGGGATTGATTGTGAATGTGAGCATGAATATAAGTATGAGTATGGGTATGAATATGAGTATGCGGCTTAGTATCCGAATTAGTAACTGTAGTGGGATTGATTGTGAATGTGAGCATGAATATGAGTATGAGTATATGCGTGAGTATGCGTATTAGTAAGCGTATGGGTATGAATATGAGTGTCAACATAACTAGGAGTATAAATATTGTTATGAGTGTAACATGAATATATGTAAATATGAGTAAGAGTAAACTATGACTATGAGTAGATATGAGCATGAATATGCGTATGAGTACGAATATGAGTAAGAGTAGATGTGAGTATGTGTATGAGTCATATGAATGTGAATATGAATACAAATGTCAGTATAAAAATGACAAATGAAATTTTTTTTGCGTTTTCGGCCCACTTTCTCCTGCAATTTGCGATATGCGTCCTTACGATACTACCCAAATTGAGCGACATGCAGTTCAGCGCCCCTTATGAAAGACAATGTTTTTATAAGAACTTTTTTCTTCGGCGAAATACGCTCAGTGGTTTGCCATTACCAGCCAAGGTTCATCCGCCGTGGACTTTACGCTGATCTGGCATCGAAACCGGTTTCCATCGAGTGATGGTACGTCGCTTTGACCCTTCCGCTGCGTCGGCCGTCGAATTTAGATATAAATATGTAAGTATCAATTCGTTTGTTCTGTCACTTCGAATACGCCCATTTTGTTTCAATAATTTTGAAAAAAAACTTTCATGTAATCAAAAGAGAAAAAAAGCTCTTCATTGTTCAATCTTCCTTTGCGATAATTACTACATACCCGAATTGACAATTATGGACTGCAATCACACAAAAAAGTAGACGCCAAACCAATCAATATCCAGTGTTTGCGTGTGTATTTCAACAGCTGCTACCCAGTAGCGAAATGTGAATTTCAAGCTCCACCTACTTTGAAAAATTATCGTCTCATGCTCCGCCCTTGATGCACCGAACACAAACACAAGCCTGTTATGATATGAACATGAAATTTATAAGAAAATATTTCGAATTTCCGCTGTTGCGGCTACGGCGTGGTATAATACTCGTAAATAAGGATCGAGCAAGTAAATGAAGTCATTAAGCGCACAAACAGTCGGCTCAAGCTCAAGCTCAACAACAGAAACAGAAACAGAGACAGAGGCCAAGTGGCCAAGTGGCGGCAACATTTAACGAAGGAGCAACAACGTGCGCAACATTTCATTACTTCCTCGATACGAGTACCAAATGAGTAGGAATAAAAGGATAAAAACCTTACATAAATAAAAGGAATGAATTGAAATGAAATATTTAAGTCGACAAAGAAAGCAAATCGGAGAAGCGTACAAAGGCAAACAACTTTATTAATGTCAACGCAAACAAAGAGTAGGTAGAGTACTACATACATAGAGTATGCAAAAGTCAAAAAGAAAAAATAAATGCAAAAACAACAGAAACAACGGTGATATCATTTAGTTGGCGGCAGCAATGCATTTGCTGCACAAATAAGTATACATTTAAGTACATCAGTATGTAGGTGCATGCACCAACCCAGCTAACCAAATAGGAGTTGCGTTAAGGGCATCCATCATTTAACAAGCAACGAAAATCGTCTCAAACCGATTTCAGTAAAGTTCAGGGAAAAATTTGCTCCTATTTTTGGTTAGGCATGAGTTAATGAGTTAAAAATTAAATATCGAATTAAAAATTGAAGGAAGCTAACTCAACGATTTCACTCTGGTAGAAAATGGAAGTCTGAGCACACATGCCTACTATATGTTCCGTAATATTGGACCCAGCATTAATCACTGAGCTACCCTGGTAGTTTTTTCATATTTATTCGTGCCCGATGATGTGGGGAGTATAAGAAAGATAGATAGTTGGTTATAAGTAGCACTGCGACCGGTAGGTCTATTGTGCGCTTAGTTCATCACAACACCTCGACCAGCCCTAAAGACTCTAAAACTTTCATAATATATCCCAGGGATAGGTAGTGGTGTATGCGCTCCTCTCCTGGCCACAGGTGCCCTATGCTCCTTTTCCTCTTACCTGCAATGACCCCATAGTTCGTAAGTAGGTGAAAAGGAGTCTTCTTGGCTGCGTCGCAAAAGCGACCGCTTGAAAGATGCTAGGCAAGGTGGGGAGTATTGCAGAATTCTGTTAAGGCGGATACTTTTAGTATATTAAACAGATAAGCTTGCGACGAAACACCTCTCGAGCACTGTTAGAATGTGTTTTTCATATCCAGTGCCAACACTGCACAGTAATGTTTCGCTCCATCTCGGCAAGGCTCTCCGGCGATCACCCTCAAGCAAGGCGACTAAGGGCATTGCATAGCGCGTTCGTCAGATTCATCCACTGCGGTTACGTACATACATATGCATGTCTGCTTTTCAAATAGATATGAGGAAATTGCACAGCAGTAAGAGGTTTGGGTCGAATGAAACAAATGTCCATATTTTGGAGTCTTGAGCAAACGTATTGCACTCCGCAGAAACCGCTTCTAAACTCTGAAGGATCACTTCTTTGAGGGCTTAATCGGTTTAGAGAAAACTCCATCAAAGGGTCGACTAGAATCCGCAAGAAAATCAGGATGATTTAAAGAAAAGAGGGGCCAGAAAAAAAAACTCCTCTGAGCATCACAATGAGCCTGAGCCCACATATAGAAGATTGTCAGAAAGATCAAACGGTTGGTAGGTTTTGTCGGGCACTTTTAATCATCCTGAAATCCAAGCAAATAATATGACGGCCACAATAGTGAATTATTCAGAAGTGAGTACGACCACTCTATGGGATCCAGCTTCCAGCGCTAGTCCGAGCACAATCAAAAGAGTTCCTAGCCATATCAAGAATCTTAGCCTTGCCTTCTGAATGCTGCCTATGAAGAAAATATTATACTTTCAGTTCAAACCCTTTTAAGTTTTGTGCTCCTTAATCAATCCTTTGGTTCGCTGGGCAACTCAATTGCCCACACAACTTCATTCATACATACTCGTATGTAAGTGCTTGAAGAATTTAATAACCTGCGTATGCTACACTCGCATTAAAGCAATTGAAGCTGCTTCGATGCCGCCGCGCCGCCTGCCTTGGAATGGACGCCATGTGTGCCCCAAGCGCGGGGGTTGCAGTGGTGTCCAATTGCGGAAAGCAGGTAGAGCAGAAACGGGTTCCTTTGATGCCAAAACAGGCAGTCATAAATTTGCATATGCAGTCAGTCGGCAACAACAATAGCAACACAAAAGAAAAAAAAAGAAAACAGAATTACAGCAGCTGCAATAACCAAGTTGGTAATAGAGGAGGATGCTGATGCCGTGTGTGCGTGTGTTTGTGTGAAGCGGAGCTGAAGAAGCGACGCGTCGGTTCGCGTGGTCGGTTTGACTGGATGACTGGTCGCTGCGGCCGCCGCCGACAACCAATGGAAAATTGCATGTATGTAGATATGTAGCATGTAGGGAGCAATAAAAAATGCACAGACAGACAGATTGGCGCAAATCGGCGATGAGTGAATTTGGTGGGGACCAGACGTGGGAGATGTGACTTGGTTTGGCGAAACGACGGAAAGCGTCATCGCCGCCGCCGCCGCCGCCACCACCGTCACCGCCCTTGGCCGAAGAAAAGCCCAGCCCGCGCCACAGCGCGCACTCGCGTCAAAAGGAAGCGTTTTACATTTACATGTACGTTTCGCTGTCGATTTATTAGATCTTCGTGCAACCTGAAATGAAACGTGGGCACTTGCGGTGCACAAACACGATGCTGTGGCACAAAGCAAAATGAATATGAATGTGCAGTGCACAAGTATGCAACACACAGCTGTGGCATAAATGAGATGCAAGTGTACGCTTGGCATTGCCACAAATATTTACCTAAGCGGCGCGCGTGTGTTGAGGCGGAGAAAACGAGCACCAAAAAAAAAAAGAAGGAAAAATAGCCGAGAAATGCGCAAAGTGTGGCACAATTTCGGTGCGCGGTCGTTGGCGGCGGCACAGTTACGGTTGGAAGAAAACTGGCGTTTGGCCATTGTTTGTGGCATGTGGCACACAATGTGAGCCATTATCAAATTTTATTTAGAGAAATATTTTTCCTTCCAGCGAACTGTGCATGCGAACTGTGCGACCAGACGATAGCGGAAGGGTAAATCATCACTAATGCCAACAATAAGTGGTAGTTGAGCGGAAATTGGCAAAGTCATAAAAAAAGAATCGACAGCGGCCAACTGCCAAGCAATAAAATCAATGAGCGTCGCCGCGGCAGTGCTGATTGGAATGAGTTTGTGCGCGCTGCATGCAACAGCGTGACAGATAAGCTGTTGTACTCGTTTGTGCGATTTACTATGCGCTGCTGTTGTAATCGATATCCATCCTATTGGCGGAGACACAGTTCATCGCCGGTGAAACTATCAAAAATTAGTGGTTACACTTTGTTTTTGTTTTTTTTTTATTGCCAACCAGACATTCAGCTAGTCAGTTAGTATGTCATGCCCGCCAAATTGTCTGTTGTTATGGAGCGTAATCGTTTTATTTTGCAAATTGTAGACACGCCATAAACCCACTGACCAAGTTGGCATGTTGTAGGAAATGAACAGAGAAAAATTGGGTGGATAAATGAATTAATGCACAGAGTTGCTCACATTTCGTGATCTTATACACTTTAAAATAATATCGTAAATTTAATAAATACCGTAAATTTAATAAATGTCGTAAATTTAATAAATACCGTAAATTTACATTTTGGGTTCCGTTATGCGCTTTAAAATACTTAAGGTTTTGTTGCGAATATTTTTGAAGAAAACAACCTGCGGAAGAGGAAGGTCTGGTGATATTTGTTAAGGCAAGGTACTTTTAGAAACAAAGCTGTCGACTAATATTCGCATTAAAATCAGGATGATTTAAAGAAAAGTAGGGCCAGAAAAGAAAAAAAAACCTCCTGGCAGGTATATGATATACATAGTGCCTTGAACCGAACAAATTCGGTAGGTCCCCTCAATGATATGTACACAAACCAAATTTCGAGCTGATATCTTCATATTTGGACTTAATGCCAAAATATCAGTTCTTCGGATTTATTTTTTCGGTTTTTCTGATATCATTTTTCGGTTCTAGCGGAACCGTTTTTCGAGTCTTTTGGAATCAAGTTTTGGTTGTTCTGGATCCGTTTTTCGTGTGTTTTGGAATCGAGTTTCGGTTCTT